AAGTTACAGAGACTGCGGCAAGTAACGTTTGGCCTCCCCTGGGCATTAAGCTGGGTCTTCCGTGTGAAGTGCTTAGTGCTGTGTATTGCCAGTGCCTGCTACGTGCTCCCTAAAGTGAAAGGGACGTTCTCAGAGTTGGGTTTTTCCCGACAATCATAGAATCTCGTCCACGTGCGGCTCTTCTCCCCAGTGTCCCACCTACGTTTCGAGCTGCACTCGCCTTTATAGAAATGGAGCCTTCTCTTTCCCAGTGACTAGATTGGGCAGGATTTAACTTTGGACAGGCCTTCTGCCTGTGCCAAATTGTGGTTCGTCCACAAAAGGGCCATGAATGATGCTTGCAGGGAAGTCTTGGTTCACCCCTTATTCCTCACTGGTTGGGGCAGAGGGTTGAGGAACAGGCATGGCCCGTTCTCAGGGAGGACTGGTTAGGAGCAAATTTCAAACGCATTTGGGCATAAGCAGGAAATCAGTCTTAGGAGTGGTTTCTCACTAGCCAATGGATAGGAGTTGGCACAGAGCCTATGGCAGGACTTCTGGCTGTTCCCAACATAGATGGGAGGGGCAGATGGGCAGGGCAGCTGGGCTGTCCCTCAGGATATTTGTTAATCATGTGGTTGCTCTTCCCCACCTTTCTTTTGCAGGTTGTGGTGGTGCCAACTCACAGCGTCTTGCTGTGGGGATCTGGCAGCTGTTCTCAGGAGCAACCAAAGCCTGGCAGAGCTGGAGCTGGGTGGTAATGAACATCTGGGAGATGCTGGAGTGCAGCAGCTGTGTGAGGGCCTGAAGCATCCAAACTGCAAGTTGCAGAAACTGGGGTGAGTAAGGTTTCCTTCCTCAGTGGATTTACCAGAGGCCTCTGTATAAAGTATTCATCAGGGCTGTGTGGCCACTGCTAGATGCCTGCTCCCTGAAGTGAAATGGCGAAGCTGAGGGTTATGTGTCTGTCAAGCCCCCATGCCAATGGCTCACAACACACACCCAGCCAATCCTTCTCAGCCATAACCAGAAAAAGGGGAGCACAAAGCAGGAAAGAAGGGTGGCTCAGCAGTGAATTTTCTTTGTGAAGAGATCTGAGGCCAGCCTTGCCTAAGGAAAACAATGGTCTCCAGGGAACCTCATAATGATTTCCCTTTTTTCCCATTTAACATACTTTGCCTGTATCTGGGAGTCTCCTAAGGAATCCCATTAAAATATATTCTAGAAGCTCTGCCACAGAGAGCCTCCTGCTCTGGCCTGGGGAGGAGACAGGGAGCTTTGGGAGCCCTACAAGTAGCCTGCCCTGGTTCCCCTCTCTCTATCAGTCTTTGGCTCATTCCAAGCAATAGAGGTGCAACAAAGGATCCAGTATTTTCCCCAGGTTTACTCTGGGCATCACATTTTACTTGTTAAAAATGTTTTTTATGAAAGTGGTTCCTGCCTGGTGTGCTGTTACTTCTTCCACGGTTTGTTTAAGAGCGGTGGTCTAGAAAGCCCAGAAGATAGTGTCCCTTTTGGACACGACTGATGTAGATTAATTGAATGACATGAGCATCACTTCCTCTGTGTGTGTGTCTACAGACTAAGTGGTTGTGACCTCACAGCTGGTTGCTGCAGGGAGCTCTCCTCTGTTCTCAGCACCAGCCAGACCCTGGCGGAGCTCAATCTGCGTGACAACCAGCTGGGACATTCAGGAGTGCAGCTGTTGTGTGAGGGGCTGAAACATCCCAACTGCAAATTGCAGAGGTTGTGGTGAGTGAAAACTATATCCCTTTACTGTCTCCAACATAGGCTCTGGGGAAGCATGATGTTTAATCACTGTAAAGGCAGAGGAGGTGCCACTAGGTAATGTGCATCACCTGCTACATTGCAACTGGTATCTTCAGACTCCTATAGCAATGCAAGCAAGTTGTATCACTGTAGAGGAACCATTGTAAAATTCCAGTGTTTTTGCTACATGTGTATTCTTGCTGGAGCATGCAGACATAACAGTTACACTGTAATAGCTTATATACATATTATTTGATTTTAATGCACTAATTGCATCAGTCTGTGACTAATGTCACGATGCATTTCTTTTTATTAGAAACAGTCCTATAGGCAATGAAGCACAGAGATTGCTTCTCATTTCTCTTGCCCTACCTTGCTAGTAGGTTGCATTTTTCTCATTAAGAGGCTGAATATTGTAGTAAGGGACTTTCAGCTCAGTCTGCAGCCAGTTCAGTTTCAAGACAGATTCTTTAAGCTGCTGCCAACCTGGACTCACTTCTGGCACCCAAGAGCTCCATGAGTGTGAGCTTGCATTATTTTGGTCTGCAGTGCCTGTTGGGGTGTGCCTACACCCTGGAATCCCTCATGCCCCACTTGCCCCCAGGGCTTTATGGACAAAGGTTGGGGATGGACATTGAGCAGAACAGCTGGACAGCTGTGGAATCCTGTGACTCTGCAAACACCCTCATAGACACAGGCAGCTGTGAGTGAGCTGTCCTGCCAATACAGAAATTCTTCAGGCAAATGTTGTCTGCCATCCTCCCTCTGTGAGTTTAGGTGGCTGCTATGAGGGCACCTAATCTCCTATTTGCCCATCTAGTTAATTAACACAGTTAGGGGAAGGATGGGCCACAGAGGGTAGAAGTGGGTTACTATGGAGTAACCCTCTCTTTCCAACAGCACCATGGGCTGACCTGGAGGTCTGGCTCTGGCTCTCTACACTGATTGTAAGTAAGCAAGCAAACCCAGTTCTCCTCATCTGATCATATATATCAGCATTCCTCACTCTTTTGCCCCTACCCTCCACCCCTCGTCAGGATGCACACCAGTCTGTAGGCTGGATTGGGTTTTGGGGGCTCAGTACTGCCCCCTGACACCCCACATGCACTGGGCCTGGGTCCCAGGGACCCAATGCTGCCCCCACCAGGATTGGGCCCTGGAACCCAGTGTGGACCCTGCCAGACCCTGCTTGCTGGGACTAGGCACCCCATCCAGCAAACAGGGACTGGAAATTTGGCAGCAGAGGAGCAGTGCCACCACTCCCCCCTGCCAAATTTCCAGACCCATGGAGAGACCCACAGATCAAAAGACACAGCACCACAGGCTGGGGACTGAGCACCCCTGATATAATCAAACACAGGAAGAAGTGAAAGGTCAACGTATCTCCCACAGCTGGGAGCAAGCCAGGCCTCCCTGCCTGCATTTCAGAAGCCACTTTAGGCCACGTCTGCTGCAGCACAACAGCTGCTGCAAACTCAGCCCCCTCAGGGAGTGGGTTCCTGATAGCTCTGCAAGGAAGTGGCCTAAGGAGTATGTGCAGCAGTGCGGTCCTGCTGCCTCTGGGCAGGGAGTCCTCCAGCTGGATGGTGCCATCCCAGCCCTCTCTGAGCACTGAGTAGCCCCATGGAGATCAGTGGGGTGTTTGTATAAGTGCTCACCCTCATCAGTGAGGGCTACATAGTGCAGCTTGGTCTGTGAAGACAGGATATTAGTCAGATGTGGCCAGAGCTCCCTGGGTGCGTGGGTTGAGGAGGGAGCAGAAAAGGCCTATAGCCTGGACCAGCCCTTGTCCACCCTATGCAAGTTAAAAACTCCTGCTGGCAGTGAGACTGGCAGGCAGGGGATGAAGGTGATAGATATGTCTGGGACACTGGCAGCAGCTGGTATGTTGGAAAGAACTTAGGTGCAGATTCTGTACTGTTGTCCTCTCCCTATACAGCACCCAGCACACAGGGGCCCTGGCCTGTGACCAGGGCTTCAAGAATCATCCATAGGACAAGTAGTGTAACAATACAAACCACCATGGTACTTAAGAGATCAGGGTCTCAGGGGTGATCTACTGGTACAAGTAACACTTTCTTTTTGTTTCTTATGTTCCTGCAAAGGCTGAGCTCTCACACTTTTAAAGAAGAAACGAGGACAGAGCTGGGTGCTGTGAAAGACATAAAGGCCGATCTGGTCATAGAGTCGAACTAGTAAGCAGGAGCCCTTGCTCCAACATGCCTTGGCCCACCTGCCCTGCCACTTCCTAGGAGAGCAGCAAGGGCTGGCAGAGGGACGCACCTGCACATTGAAGAGAGGACCGTCCCACTACCAGGCCCTTCAGAAGCATATTCCAGCATGTGCGATGGGGGTTGGGGAAAGACTTTGGGACTATCCCTTCTGCAGGAGCAGCTGTTTTTATGTCTTATATGATCTGAACTTGGAAGGAGACAGTTGGTTTGTTGAAAGGAGCAAGAAGGAGACATGGGATCCGCATACAAAGGAAGGAGAGGACCACAAGATGGAGGGGTCTGGGAACTGTGCTTCTTCTGTCCTTGTCGGGGCAAAAGAGAGACCCAAATATCCCATCCCCAGACCAGTGGGGAATTTCTGTACTGGCATCACAGCTCACTCACAGTTGTCTCTCTGTCTATGAGAGTGTTTGCAGTGTTACAGGCTTTTGTCAGTTTTTCTGGAATTGAATAAATACTATGAATCCAGAAGCTGTATTGGACTTTGTAGTTTTCTTTTCTTGCTCCCCTTGTCCAGAACCATGTGATCCCCCAGAACTGTTCCCCATTTTTTCCTTGTTCCAGTTTGTGACAGGGAACCGTGACCCTATCACAAGGAAGAAGGTGCACCCCCATAAGGCCAGAACCTTCTGAGCATGGAGGGCTGGTGAGGAAGGGGGTAACTGCTGAACTGGGACGGCTAGTCAGCTGACTGGAAGAGGCAGGACTATAAAAACCCTGGATTGAATAGCAGTAAAGGGGGTCAGCAGCCGAAGGGGAAGCAGTGCCCCTGAGAGCTCCAGGAAGAAGTCTGGGGAGTGGTCCATGGCAGGAAGAGGGAAGTTATGGAAGCCCCTGCGAGATGACGACTGCGTCCTCAACCAGAACTGTAGCCGGCAGTGCGGAGCCGAGACTGGAAGTGAGTTCATATAAGCTGATCCACTGTGTTGATTGAGCACGTGCAGTTATTATTATTATTATTATTATTAGTGATTATTGAATAACACCAGAGGTTTGGGTGAGGCTATTAGGGGATGGAGGAGGCCTCATTTTTGGGGACTCACTCTGGAGTGGGAGCCCCGGCACTAGTGAGGGTGCAGGTTTTTGGCGGGGCCCATCCCTGGTGCCAGTGAGGGCGTAGCTTTTGGAGGCATAGACCCCAGCACCAGTGAAGGCGCAGCTTTGCGGGGGGTACAGCCCCAGCGCCACTGAGACGCAGAGTGCGACATGGCTGCAGAGAGCCCGAGTGCCAGTAAGGGCGCAGCTTGGGATGACACAAACCCTGGCACTCAAGGGACGATCTTAAAAAGGCCGGGGAGGCCTGGTGCACCTGGGGGGTGCAGATATATTGTTTTGTTTTGTTTGGACTGGTGGGGTTGCACGCTGGTTTTGGACTTGTAGCCCCCTTGTTGTGGGGCGGGCGCCTGTGCCTCTGGGCCAGGGAGTACTGTGCTCTAGAAGGGAGCAGAAAAGGGGGTCACAAGCCTCCAGGCACTGGAAGGAAAAGCTAGAGCCTCAGAGTCGAACCCTGTGTGGTGGGTTTGGACAGGGAGGCCTAGCTAGAGAAAAAGGGATCAGGCCATCCTAGGAGAGACCCCAACATATCCAATATAATAGGCAGTCTCCCACTCACATAATAATTTCCATCAAGACGTGGCAGGAGAGATTAGGGCAGGACAGAAGGAATCCAAGAGAGCTTCAAGGGCACCCCATAAGATGCAGATGACCAGGAAGATGGAGCTGGGGAGGGCGACCTGTTACACAGTCTCAT